CCTGTCCTATCCGAAATCACCTAGGATGATATGTCCCACCCAAAGCTCAACCATCTTTGTGGCTTTACTGTGGGGTACAAAGGATTGTCCCAGCTTTTGAAACACACAAAAATGTCTTTTACTTACTAGATACGAACATCTGCAGTTTCAGGAAAGCAGTTTTGAGAATAATGTAGAAACAAACTTTGGGTAAAACTGTGAGGAATCACAATTCCTAGCTTTCTGAAGCAGAGGAAGGAGAGCTGAGGATTGGCATCTTTGCAGAATCAGAATCATTAACTCTGCAGGGGTCACTGTAACATTCTAATAAATCAATTATGAGACGTGATTCCAAAACTGCCTGATCCTTATTTAAACATATAGAGCTGTTCTCTAATAAACCCGCTAACTGTGGTCAGTGCCAGGGTCAGCTCTGAGCACAGAGAGGAGGACTGAGGCCCTGTGCAGGGACGGTCAGAGTGGCCACTGGAGCTGAGCAGAGTCTCTCAGTCCATGTGCCACGCCCAAAGGCCATTTCTCTTTCAGCACTAGCATTCAGCCCTGGTAGGGACTTTATATCTTTTGATTAAACAAATGTAAGCTAAAGGTGATACTGGTCAGACACTGCCCAGTCGGGAGTTACCCAGAGGTAAAGCTCAACTCCCAGCCTTCCACCCTGAATGACTGCAGGCACCAAGCTGCCTCTTGCTTATGAATTCACACATTATAGGCAGAAAGCAAACCAAAGACTTCCACGGGGAGATAAGAGACAGATGAACACAGGATCCAAGGCAGGCAGCAAGCCAGCATGTCACCGGAAGCGAGGGTTCACCCCTGAGGAACAGTACCCATGGTCTGGGAAGCGGAGCATAAATGGCAGGTGAGCCACACAGCAAGGCCTCTAGCTCCTGCCCTGAGTGGGGGTGCAAAGATCCCACATCTCCCAGGCAGGGTGGCCTAGCGGGAAGGTGAGTGGGGCAGCTCTCATCCAAGCGACCTATGTTACACGGGGCGGGTGGGGGGATGGGGCTGTGTCTCGGGCTGGGAGTGGGGCGAGCAGCTCTGCCACGCCAGTCCTTTCCAAGTGCAGCCAGCTTACTACCCAGACAGTTACCCCAGGTATGGAAAGGAATAAAATCCCTTTCCATATGCATGCAGAGCATGCTTCTGAACTAATTCAGTTTCAATATTTATTTGGAACAATTACTGAATTATAGTGGAGGAAATCTGCTAAACGGAGCCAGCCAGACCAATGTTTTTCTTTCTTAGAGATGACAATATTCATTATTTCATCTCTTTATGAAGGGGTGACTGCAACTGGAAAATGAGACATTGGCACTGCTATAACATCTTTAGAGTGAGGTGGCTCAGACGGGAGAAGCAGAAGGGACACAGGGCCAGTCAACATTTCTATGATGTGGCCAAACAGTTCCCTTGCAAGCCGCTCTGGAAGCAGATATTGTGATTTTTGAAAGGGACCCCACCCTGCTGTCGGCTGGGTCCCAGAGGAGGCGCCGTGGGCCCACAGACACCAAAGGGGTGATGCTCATTTTAAAATCACCCACAAAACCGCTATGGAGATCTCATTATACTGAGCCCCATTTATAAACACGGCTAACCACGGGGCGTGCGGAGACTTTCTGTGCTGCTCTAATAGGATATTGATCGCCAGTGCAGCCTGAGTGGGCGGCCGCAGAGTCGACGACAGTGGATGCGCGCAAGGTCACCGCGCTGTCTTCGGCTGGGTCTTACTAGCATTCTTTTGTTTCTTTCGTTGAGGCTCAAGACTGCCTGGCTTCATTCAGAAGAATTTTAAGACTAACCTTCCCCATGAGCACAACTACCCTGTTCCTAGGTGGAGGAGCCACAGCCCAGCTTAGATGGCCTGCCTCTCCCAAACACCCACAGCGCCACGCCCCTGTATTAGCCCCTGAGCCTGGCTTCGCCTGGCCCAGATGTTTCGTGACCAGAGACTCCGTGGGGCCACAGCCATGGCTCGCTCAGCCAGGCTTTCTTCTCAGCCGGCCTGCCGTAGAGCTCCTAGCCTGGTCCTCCATGGCTGGTGGTTCTCGTGGAATGGCCAGCTCTGGGTGTGTAGGTGCAGATTGGGGACCTGGCTCCCAGGGGTCCTGGGGTCCTGCTCTCCCATGCAGAGCACAGCTCCAGGCCATGGGACAAGGCTAGGGCCCCTTGGCAGCCACGTAGCAGCTAGGACCCTTCCCGTTGGGTTGTAGCTGCTTCCTGGGACCCATAACAGCATGTGGTGGAGAGTGGTTTCCAACCCAAAGAGGCCAAGGCTGCCAGCCAGGCCCCAGCCGTGAAGTCACCTGCATACCACCTCTGTCTAGCAAGACAGAGGTGGCTGAAGAGGACAATGGGCAGAAGAGCGGATGCTGGGAAATGTGTGGGAGTGCCAAGCAGGGCTCTGAGGAGACCCTGGCCTGACCAATAGGAAACAGGAGCAGTGCTGCGACAGCTCGGGCCAGGTGGCCAAGGCTGTGTGTGAGGAGGCCCTCCCTTCCCCCCTCCCCTCCCCTCCTGTCCTTCCCCTCCCTTCTTCCCCTCCCCGCCTTTCTCCCTCTCCCCTCCTGTCCTCTCCTCCCTCCCTTCTTCCCCAGAGGCCTGTATTTCCCCTCACTCAGAACTGAGTCCTAAATTCCCAGTGTGACCCCCACAGGCCCTGACCTGTGGGGAAAGGCAGCAAGCAGACTTACATTCTGGCATTCATGAGTCAGGCCCTTGCCAAGGGCTGTCCCTTCCTGCCTTCCCCAGCCCAAGGACTGTGAGAAACCCAAAGGTGCCAAGCACAGGTGGGGAGAGGTCTCCAGGAGCCGGTGCCTCTCTGGCTGACACCCCGTGGTCCTTCCCTTGTGTCAATTTTCCCTGTGCTCCCTATCCCTGTGCTCCCTACCAGGCCACATGTGTGGTGACATCACACTAAGCAAGGACCCAGCAGGGTCCCTCCAGGAGCCCTCCCAAGGACAATGACCAGTACCTCTCCCTTTATTTAAAGGAAGGAAACCAAAAATCAGAAACTGCCTGAAAACCTGGGGAAAGTAAATATTTACAGTATCAAACTCTGCAGTCAAACAGTAACACCCAGAAAGAACCTGTTCCAGTGAGGTTGTCCTGACTGAGGACCCTGGACTCCGGGCAGGAAGGGCTGCCCAGCCTGGAGGATGGCGACTGTGTGGGATGGGAGCAGGTGATTGGCATCTACAGGTTGGGAACTGCGCGCTGGCCTGGGATGTAGTGACAGCAGACACGTATGTCAGGACATGCTTGTGCTGAGACCCACGGAACAACAGGCACCAAAGCTCACGTGCGAACTCCAATCCCTAACATCAGCGTGGGCCCAAGTTGGTAACCATGTGCCTCGGCTCGTCTCTGGTGACGCATGGGCAACCCCAGAATCAGCAGCAGGAGCTGTGGGGTGACAAGGGATGTGGGCGTCTTCTGCAACCTTGGAACTGCTCAACTCAGGACTGCGGACCGGCCGTGAGCACCACCCAGGTGCGTGGGGCCCAGGATCCCAACCCAGCAGCGAAAAGCAGGAGAACTAAAGTTCAAGAACGAAAAACAAAGCTGAGTAGAAAACATGCTGGGAAAGTGCAGGTAAGTATTTGGGTCATTCTGGCTGACACGAGCTAGGGCGAACCTCCTCCATCTGCACTGGAGGCCACAGATGCCCAGCGCCCTCGGTCCCAGGAGAGCACAGATGGCCTAGTATTGTTGTGGGCTGTGCCCATTGAGCGCCAGTGACCATTGTTCTGCATGGGCACATCGCTGGCTAGCCCGCCGGGCAGCACCATCAACATGTTTCTAAGGACCTTGCTGGTCCAGAGTACCGGATTTGGAGTAAAGGGGCTTAGCCTTTTCTTTAAGGCAAGATTGGAGCTGGGTAAGGGTTTAATGTGTCAAGGCCATCATTAGTTACAAAATTGTGGCATGCTGGCAATTTCTAAATCCTGCAGTACAACAATGACTGGCACCTCAGGCCAGCTGGGCAGAGCCACTGGGCTCCAGGTTCTGCCCCAATGCTGCTCCTTCCCTCTGGCCACCCAGGGGGCAGTGGCAGTGGCCTGTCCAGGCTTCCTCCATGCAGCCTGCTTCTCCCAGGGCCTGTCTTGGACCTGGCTCCTCTGTACCTCACTGGGAACCCCAGCACCCTCATCCTGACCCACTGATTCCCTTGGCTCGCTCACACAGTCACTTCTCTAAGCTCCCCTGAGCATATGGATTCTGCCACGCCTAAGGCAGACCCAGCACTGGACCTCAGGGTGACTCTGGGTGACTCTCAACTCCCTCTCTGAGATGGAGACTTCTCACTGAGCAGATTAACAGAGTGAGCAGTCTCAGAGCCTGGCCAGCTGGCTTCTCCTCAGCCTGGGCTCTTCCTGACCTTCAAGGCCCTTAAGACTAGTCCCGCTATGCAGGGTGAAGGAAGAAGAGGCCACGCTCCCAGGAGTCACTTTGCTAATGTAAAGATTCCCTGCTTGGTACTTCAGAGGCATGTGTGGGGGAGAAAATGTTAGTGTTTGGTATTTATTTTTCCTTTTCTATTAGGACCTAGAGCATCACACTTTTAAATAAAAACAGAGGCGCTCTAGAGGGGCAACTGTGTATATGTGGGAGACAGACAGACAGACAGACAGAAGGGAGACAGAGGCTCCTAACTTCCTCTTGCATGGTGTGGATGGTGGCCTCACAAGTGTAATCAATGGGCCTTTGATCACTGGAGCAGGCAGTGACAGCAGCTTCTGGGCAGGCTGTGGTCCTATCGACAGACTGGTAATGACCACACTGCGCATGTCACTCACACTGAGTACATTACCATTGTTAAAGGTCAGAAGCTTGGTCTGTTGAAACGCAGTTTCCCCACCTCGTGTTCCCAGGAATCCCACAATCCTCCTGGAGTGCAGCAGGACAAGGGTGTGGAGCTTTTCTGCCTCCCGTGACCCACATGGAAAGCAAACACAGGCCCACGGCCACCTGACCAGTTGGAATGAAATCGTACTCACTCTGTGACACTCGTACCAGCTCAGTCACACTGAACACGCCTGACGTGACAAAGCTGTCCTGGAAGCCCAGATGTCCTGTGGAGACAGAAACAGAAGAAGTGCCATGAGTGGGTGCTGGGCCTTGAGGCTCTGGGGTTTCAAGATGATGAGGGGATGCCCTTGGCTGGCAGGCCGGGCTGCTCAGGGGGCGGGGGCTGGGGTAGGACACAGTCATCTGGCAACAGGGCTGGCTCTGAGTTTGAGTCTGGAGGCTACAGCAAGCCATGACACAACAGGGTGGCTTTTGAGATGGTCTTAAAAAATTCACTGGGAAATGTGAAACAAAAGGTAATTTGAAAGAAGGGGTTACTCAAGTGACCTCTGGGACCCTAACCAACGGGATGAAAGTCAGAGGCTAAAGAGCAGCCGCAGTCTAGAACGTTACTCTCTGAGTAATGTCAGATCAGGGTTAGTTATGAGTTTAAGTCAAGTAAGACTCTAAGATGTCACCCTCCCTTTCTAGAAGAACCACATGGAGAGATCTGAGGAGGCTGCAAAAGCCAAAGCAAGCTTCTCCATTAAGTATAAAAGGAAATTATTCTGTGCACAAATGAAAACTGAAATATGTTTAGAGAAGAAATGATTTTGGGTTCATTATTTTTTTGAGAAAATATAAACTGATAGCTTAGAGTTGAGGAATCCATGAATTTGATGCCTACTTCATTTTTCTGAGTACACTTAACTTCCTCTAAGGTAATTAATAGGACCTCTATCAATGATTACTCATTGTAATTTCATGGCATACTCAGACACATACACAAATGACAAAAAAATCCAAAATCTACCATGTGCTCGTTAATTTTCTGTCTCCAAAGTTTTCTATGAGTCTGCCAACAGGTAGATTCTAGCTGAGGATCTGTCTATGAAACTAGTATCTACCAGCTTTAAACTTTGGCTCAGAGAAGTTGTTAGCTAACGAGATTTTTAAAGTAACTCTTCTTTGCAATAAGAAACATAACCTTTAAGACACATAATATAAGAGAACAGATCAATCTGAGTATCTAGCACTTCAAAGATAAATGACTTTTAAAATAAAAGCCGTATTTTTTACATTATAGGAGAAAGCAAGTTGATATATGGTACTAAATAGGTACTGATATATTTATCAAATACCATGCATGAAAACATATGCAAAAATCACTAACATTTTGGTGGACTACTAATGAAACTATTAAGTTATTCTTGTTTTGGTTACAATGGATTTTTGGATAAGGAAGATTTTTACTGAGATTTAAAAGAAAAAATTTCAGTTAACTTTGATATCCAACATATATCTCTGGTATTTTAGATAAAACCATTCTAATTTTTAGGATATGCCATAATCATTAACAGCTTTATAACACAATGATGAAGTTTTACTTAAATGTGCTTAAGAAACTTCACCTATCAAAACAACCCCACACCCAGGTATTCAGTTTGCTTTTATTCAGTAAGTGCCTAAGGCGCTATCTCTTGGATTAAGAGAACTGAGAAGTAGAAAAATTAATAAACAAATAAAAACTCTCTAAAGAGGTTTTGGCAAAACAGACCACAACATTTCTTTCTTATTGGGACACAAGTAAGATCATATTTATCCTACAGATAATCACAGAGGAAATCCAGCCACAACACAGATGACAGCGGACTTAGAGCACGCACAGCCAGGGCGCTCAGAGCTGGACGGGAAAATCCGGCCGGGCTCCCACTCCTGCGCTTTTCTCTTTTTGTCACTTGATTTACGGGCTGATACTTGCTTCCATTCCAATCTTTGAAATCCCTTATTTTAAGGAAGAATTAACAAGAGTTTCTGCACGGAGTGAATATAAACACAGGCACTTTAATCCTGCCACCAAAAATCAAGAAATACATTTGAGAGACTCAGCTGAGTTTGATGCAAGATTTGGGGATCTCCCGGATGTCTGGTTTCTTTTGTCTGCCTCTTAAATGTTGATGCTCCCTAGGTTCGGGCTTTGCACACCCAAATCATCTTATCCGTGTCTGTGATGTCAGCTACCAATCTAGACTGTGCTATCTGTGAGGACTGGCCTGGCTGACCAGTCCACCACTGCACTCTAATGTGTAAGACAAAGCTGTTAGCGGTTGTCTGGGAATGCATAAATGAATGAATCCATAAACCAAAGGCCCTCAGTCTTTATCTTTTGCTTGGATCCAGACCTACAAGTGGATCCTATTCTTGCCCCTCTGAATCCTCCATTTCTATGTCTTGGTGATGGGCTGATAATTCCTCTGTGACCCATCAATTGGCAACCCCCAATTCTCAATCTCAGCCTTGGACACCCCTGCCTCTTCCCACCCTGCTGCTGGGGCTGACTTGAGCACCCACTCATGCCACAGTATCCACTGGCACCCACCCTGGGCCAGGCATCAAGCAGGCTGCAGAGTTCCCCCTGCAGACGCCACAGTGTGGGAATAGAGAGGGCTGAAAACATCAAAACAACTTTTAAGGAAGGATAGATGGTAAACATGACTCGAAGGAAAAGAGCAGGTGAGCAGTGTGGGCGTCTCAGGGTGCCCACTCTGCAGAGGAGCCAGATGTAGGGGTGAGTGGGCACTGAGGTAGAGCAGGGAACAGGGCACCCTTTGAGTCCCCGCATGGTCAGAGCTCATGGCTCTAATTGGCGCCAGCTCTTCCATCCCTTCTGTTCCTGCCAGGCCTTGGGCTCCAGGCAGGAACAGAAGGGACGCCCCTTTCTCTTGCCCAGCACCCATCCTCCCACCATTTGAGACCTTTGTCACTGCTGTCAGCCGTCTTCTCCCTCTGCGGGTCCCATTGAACACAGCTCTACCCATGTGCTGCTTTTCCTCTGCCCGGCTGTGTCCTCCAAGCCAATGCTCCGATTCAGTTCCCAGCCTGGCACCTCGTGAACCAGACAAACCCAGCTCCAGCTCCCACCAGGATTCACGCAAATGCGTCCTTCTGCCTCCCATGTTCAGTAGCAGGCCTTTAACTAGCAAGAAGGCCATTGGCATGGAGAGCCATGAGCAGGAACCTCTGGACATTCCCTGGAAACCCGGACCAGAGTGGAGGAGACCTGCTGAGATGCGCTTCTGGCCCAGCAGGCTTGGCAGGTTTCCCTGACAACGATGGTGGGGCCAGGAGTCCCTAGCTGCTGTTGTCTCCTTCCAGTTTGGAAGACCAAAGAAAAACAGAGTCCCAGAGCCATGCTATTTAACTGTCATCAGGGACCAAATCCCCAAGAAGCCAGTACTGTTTGCTCATTGAAGTCCCTGCAAAAATGATCCTCATGCTTCTTCCAGGTGGGTGGAAAGTGTATAACACACTGTCTCTCCAGTTCTGACGTAGCCATCTCTGCAGAACTATTAGAGTGTCTAGTTAGCTTCTGTTCTTAACGTGGGCCTGATGAAATGTCCCATGTATCTCTAAGTGGCTATGAAGCTGGTTTTGTTCCCCAATTACTGGGAACCCTATCGATAAACTGTAGGCAGGTAATAAGGAGACACGAACCCCTAGAGTTGGTGTGGAGGTGCCATGGCTGACGAAACTCCATGCACACCTGCACAAGCCCGTGCCCAGCCTCAGTAACACCAAATCCCAGAAAGGACCAGCAGGAAAGTTTCACCAATCTTGTTATCTTCTACAGCAAAAGGAGAATAGAAAAGAAACTACAAGGGCAAATTTAAGCAGCTTGGGATTCAGATGTTATTCTTGTGAAAAGATCCTCAGTCTGAAACCTGATCAAACATTTCCAAAGGCCCTAAGGTTTATACGTGGAGCAGGGCCCCTCAGAAATGAAGACCAAACACACACTTTTGCTAGGTTTGTCGCAGCTGAAGGGCTGGACCGCTCGAGCTCTTCCTGAATCCTGAACTGCTGTTCAGGGGCAACTGCATGGGAGGCTGAAATGAGCACAGCCTCACTCACTTTAGATAAAATGGCTAAAGGCTCCATCTCTGGAGGTCTTGTTCAGTGGATTCTCCATTAGAGCATTGTTTCCGTGCGGTGACGTCAGTTGTACTTGGGGCGGGGGGGGGGGGACGGACGGGGGGACAGGTGAGACTTTCTGTGAGAGGGAGGAATGTAAAAAGCTAAATTCTTTCATGGATGTGAGGAAAAGCAGCTCCCAACCTCAATGATAATAGCAAGGATTATGGAAAATGCCATCATATCAGAACCAAATCTCATTTCACGGGGGAACTGAACATCTATCTTTCCATGGGTGGGGGGATGCCAGATTTGCACAAGGCCCTCAGGCCTGGCGAGAGCACCCGAGGTGGGGAGGTGATGCACGGAGTTGGTATATCCAGGGCTGCCATCCTTACAGTGCCCTCCCTGTCATGGGGGAGGAAATTTTGTTTCCTTCCTAGACTAGTTCAGTATTTACCTTAATCAACACAGCCTGTGACATTTCCCTTTTACTTATGGGTCAGGTCTGCAGCCTGGGTGGCCAGTACAGTTGGGACATAGCACCACTGTCACTTTGCACAGGGCACTCTGAAAGGGATGAGAGCCAACAGATGTATCTTGCTCCCCACCCCAGACTTGTGCTGCTCATGCACAAATGCTGCGAGTCACCCAGGTGTCTGGTGCCACTGTAATTCACTAGCACAGGAGGGAAAGTGTGGGTGATAGTCCAGGGCTTTCCTCTGAGAAAGCCACCAACAGCTTGGCGTTCCTTGAGAATGAAGTTTAAAACCTTAGGTATGCATTTAAAGCCTCTCGAACCTGGCATCTGATAACGTATTTCCACACTCTTCTTCCAGTGCGACCGCCCAACCTCCATAGCACATCCATGCCGAATGAGCCCGTGCCCCCAGGATGTTCTGCCAGGGTCAGGCCGTTCAACATTCCACCCAACTCAGACCAGAACAGAGGCACAAACACACAAGAATCAAAGACTCTACATAGCAGCATAGATGTGAAAAACATGATTGCATTCACTGTTGGAGAAGGAGCAGGAACATCAACACCCTAAGGCTGGGAGAGTCCTGCACTCGGTGGCTTTAGGCACTGTCCTCTGCCCTGACAGGGACACTGCTCTTCGGTGGGAATTCCTCTGCACAGAGAAGCCGGCTGC